CATCATGGCTTAGTGAGGATGATGCAATGAACGACCTACCTCCATAGCCTTCAATAGAGGGTGCGGAAAGTAGTGGCCACTAAACTTACAAAACACTTGTAAAATAATCACCAAATATGGACTGTCCCAAATGTGTGACTATAAAGAGAGTTGACTGTACTGATTTTAGTACAAATTATTATACAGACACATAAAATTTATTATACTATTTTTAGTATAAGTTTATTACAATAATTTTTATAATTTTATTTGGCCGATAGGTGAAATCACCTGATTAATTTTATAATTTAATATATTTTATTAATTGGGTTTAAAATTTGTGCGCACCTGCGCATGTGCGCACTCCCATGGATATATTATATATAAAAGTCAAAAATGACATTCTAAACCCTTAATGGCTCATTAAGTAAAGTTGTAGAATAGGCAAAAATACGCATAGTAAATAAATTATTAAGGCTCTATAATATGTACGTAAGAGTTGCGGCATGAATATTTAAAAAAATTGGGATTTTACTAAAGTCACGTGATAAATAATGATTGACAAATTTACTATATAAAAATTACCAAAAATGGAGGGTGCGCATATGCGTGGGTGCGCACAAATTTTATTTCCTTATTAATTTAATAATTTTGATATACTATATAGGTGATTTAACTCAGGTGATAACACTTAAATCAACAGAATATTATGTGATGATATAATATTTATAATGATTACCATTGTTTATATAAATGATGTAATCTAAACCTTCCGTTTCAGTTCCAAACCTAAAGAACATTTTATCTATAACATAGAAAACAATCTATATCTTGTCTATATTTTGTCTCTAAAACATTATTTTCTCTAATTATATCTGCCAATAGAACTTACTTAAAATTATTATATAAATTTTCCTTATAACTCTTTATGTGATAGTTCTGATATATTATTCAACTCCTATTATAATTCTTTATATAGTGGTTTTGACTTGTTATTTAATGTTTATCATAATTCATTGTATAACTCTTTTAACTTGCTGATATTTGATTTATACAATGATTTTTCTAATTTATTTTTTGAAAGTTATGAAGTATATAATGAAATTCAAATAGAAAATCTAAAAGAATGTGATGGAAAAGTTAATCATCGAAAAGAATATATATGATAGTAGTAAGTATGAAATAGATGAAGAAAATCATTTAGAATTAAGTCAGGGAATAGAATTAAAATATGGAAACTTGCTGAATCATACCTTAACAAATATGCAAAATATCAGGAATTTTGCTTTCAGAAAAAAGGTATATAAAAGATCCAAATGATAATATAATCACAAGACATAGAATATATGAATATTCATAAGCCAATACTCACAAAGTCCAAAAGGTCATTTTGGCTGAAAATAGAAGAGATAGAAATTCAGAAATGACTGGATGCCCTTGGTATGTTAATCTTGCTTTCTTCAAATCTGAAAATAGTATTTATATTAATAATATAATTGATAATTATAAATCCACTCATTATCAATCACCGGACAAATATATGTTACATGAATTTATTAGTAAAAAAAATTGGTGTAACATTATAGTAAAAACTTCGATTATATTAAAAGTCTATAATAATGATATATATGTGACTTTCTAATTGTTACATTAGAATAGCATGTGACTTAAAGAACTCGATCATTTGTTTTTTAAAAAAAAATTTTCATCAATAAAAAACATGTATAATATACGAAGTTTATGCATTATTTTAAGCATTTCTTCAAGATCCTCCCGATTCTGAAGTTATATAAACTCATTGTTTGGTGTATTAGACATATTAAAATGTGCTTTTTCAATAAACAAAGTTTTTAAAGTGTAGTTTTTAAAGACTTTTTATCGTAAAGTCAAATTTTTGGTTTTATATATATCCAAAGAGTTAAATGACTAAATTTTATTTGTATTTATAAAATTTATTTCTTTTTTTTGGACATCTTATTATTATTATAATAATGTTTAACTCTCTGACTATCCCATTCAGCTGGTAAATTTATTAAAACATTATTAATTTCTGTTTCAGTTGGCATTGTATCTTTAAGTAATAACGAACTTAATATCTCTTTTTCTTCGTCAGTCATAATTTTTCTTTGACGTTTAGGAGCAGGATTTTCTTGATGAATTTTTCATTTTTGTGAAGATTTTACCGATCTTATATCTGTTTTAACTATTTCCAAATGGTGTCTTCCTTTTGTATTTATCCGTTCAGTTTTAATGACTTCCTGACAATAAACGTCTTTTATTCTTTTCAATCCTTCATTATAAGCACTGCTCAATTTTTTTAAACCTTCTGGAGTTAATTGTGATGGCGGATTTTTTTTAAAAAGTTCATGATCTGTATAATTATCCATTTGAAAAATCTCAACCAAATTTTCTATCAACTTCCATAAAGGATCAATTCTGTTGTTCACTTTACGATCATTCCTGTCATAATTATAGGGGTCTAAAAATTCATTTAATAATGTATCAATTCTCTTCCTTTCTTCTTGAGTGGCTTGGATCTGAAGAGTTAAATTTTCCTGATCAACAACTTTTCCGATTATATTTTGTTTGATATACCCAACACCACGCATTTCCAAAGCTTCATCAAATGCTGGGTAGTGTCCTTTTCTTGCCAAATTAATAGAAGTACAATATTGGAGTTTTTCTTCTAACTTGGGAAATTTTTTAAGAATTGATAGAAAATGAGCAACAGATGTTATATAGTTATTTTTGCCTGCAGCTGGAAAGAGAAGTGCAAAAGCTGTTAGACTGTCCTGTTGTAATTTATAGTTACCAATGCGTATTCCAATAAGGTGACTTTTCCACATTGCAAAATATTCATAATAAAAATACCAAACTCTAATGCATATATTTTCATTTATCGGTCCAGCTGTAATGTCCTCAATATTAATATTTTTTTTTTTATATAAATTTGTATCGCTACTCCCACCGCGACCTATATTAATTCCAGTACTCTTTTTATTGATCTATAGTCGACAACAGCTTGAAGTTTATCCAAAAAACGAACACCAATTGCTGTAGCCAAATGAAAGATCCTGTAACTTGAGAATATAGTAAGTAGTACACCAAGCATATCTTTAGAGATATGCCACCCCCTAATATGGGTCTTATTTTTTCCCATTGAGTACGTGATTTGATTAACCTCCTAAAGATAGCTTCATCTGCGCAAATATCTAGATATTCATCATCATTTAGTAGGAATTCTTCTTTGTACATTTGTGTAGCATGAAAAATCTCATTGTCATCATTTGGAGAACCAGTAGGGGTTAAAATCACTATATTAGGAGGTGGAATTAAACAACCAAATTCACATTTGCTTAGAATTTCTTTTTCAATAATCTCAACGTCTAAGTTTTTGTTATAGCTTATATTTCCATTTATATCCATTTGAAAATTTAACAATTTTTCAAAAGTTTGATCAATTTTTGCTTGCATTGTATGCATTCCTGATGTCATTCCAAAAAGTTGAGTATCAACATTTAATTCCCTAACTGGTTCAGGTGTTTCATTAGTAAGTATAGGTAATATTGACTGAAATACCATTCTGAGGGTTGCATGTGAAGTTCCACGTATTACATCATATATATTACCGAATCTAAAGCTAACTTCTTTAAAATTGATGTTATCAATTATAGCCAAGTTGAACACATTATTTCCTCTTATCAACCGTTTTGTGGGGTTAATATCCTTCATTCTAACTTTTTCCAATCAACGTTCATGGCGACTTGTATGTCCAATGATCGAACATTTTGTCAACAATGCATGTAGGAAAGAAATTAATTTTGGTCTTCTGCACAATGATGATAATATAGTAGGAAGCCAAAGATCGAAATAAGGAAAAGCATATCCTACCGTTACTGAAAGTAAAAAAGAAATTGTCTTATTTATTTTTTGAGGGTCAGATTTTTTCAAAGGTTTATTATGTAATATTTTGTATTGATTTGATCGTATTATTTTTTTTAATTCCAATTGTAAAAACATTTTTTCAAAAAATATTTTCAAGAATTTAGGAAATGCATCGATATATTCAGTGATATTAGTTGGAGATTGAAGGTAAATTTTGTTAGTCTTTAAACGTTTATATGATTGCCATAGTTTATCTCCAGCTAATTTTCCAAGTTTTTCAAAATCATCATCTTCTAATTCTTTTTCATCAGGATAAATTGGAATTTGATTTAAGCGCGTTAATACTCGAACCATAAAAAAAGTAGGAAGTTTTAATAATGTTGGGGTGAAAAAATTATGAGATGTGTTGGAGGATGTAGTAATCGATTGACTTTGATTAGAAACAATTTCTGTATTTATTTCGTACAAGTAATTTGCATTTAAAAATTGAAGATAGGTAGGTAAAAATATTCCAAGAACCTTCTCTTGATATTCTTTATTCTTATTATTTTTAACATAAAAAAGCCAACGTGCAATTATTTCCAAATTTTTTTTAGGATCTTCATCATGGTACTTTTGATCAATATACGTTTCTAGTAATTTGCCTTTTCCAGGTTTTACATGAAAGTGACCACCTTCTAATTCATAACATTCTGAACAAATGTAACGTGAATATTTTATATCTTTTAACGCAGTCTTACAAATTAGATTACATTCTCCAAGAGCAGGACATGTATGTTGTCCATTGCACGCAATTTGTATACTTTTTCCTAGTAATTTCCATGAATGTTTTGAACAACCATTTCCTCGACCAAAAAAGTAAAAGAGTTTCCCACAAAAGAGACATTTCCGCCTGCAAAGAATACTGGACGCAGTAGATTTTTTTTTTTTAAAATTTGAGTCATGTAATTTATTCTGATCGTGATTAAAATGATAACTGCACACTCCTAACTTTTCCAGAGATCCATTTACTTCTGAGACTCCTTCATTATCTATCTGCCATACTCCAACCAATTGCCATAATGTTCGAAAACTTTCTTTATTTTTACATCTTTGAATTCTGCCATCTATTTTATCAATTAATACACATGACGTTAAATTATTTGATTTCTTTTGCTCAATTATTATGTCACTCTCATCATTATTATCCGGGATTTCTTCATCTTCACTTTCAAAACTATCAAATTCACTATCAGATTCGAAGTTTTCATCAAATCCTATATCCGTTTCATTTATTTTAAAAGTTTCTTGTTCAAAAACTGTTCTGTTTGTATTTATTTCATTAATAAAATCAATATTAAACTCATTTTCAATAGTCTCTAAAGTATTTATATTCAACTTTACAGCATTACTTGACGTCATTGTGAACGATTACAATAGTAACTATTATATGGTTCGTTAACTTTAACTTTAAGATCCTCCCAAACGAAAAAAAAATTCTCATAATATTCTTAATAGGAAACGTCAAAAATAAGCTCAGAATTTATTTTGTTACAATATTTTTTTTTATTTGTTTCACAAATTTACAAAAAAGGCAATATTTTTGTATTTTTTATGGTAAAATTCATAGTAACATATGATGTCGATTATTACTAAAAAAATTTTGGTCTATATAGTGTTAAATTTGTCCGGTGATTGTTATTGAATTGACATTAAGGTTTTGAAAATTAACTAATGAAATGCTTGTAAAGATAGAATTTTGGATAATTCATGGAAAAATGGATGTATCAATTCAATATAATCTGCTAGTAGCCTTATTTCTAATGTTCTGCATATACGACTCAAAATGACTTACATAGACTCATATAACATAAATAATATAGTTAAAGTATTATAAAAATTAGTGTAGGACAAATTTTATTATATAAAAAATTAATTTAAAATTTGACTCGACTCAACTCAACTCATGAGAAACACTACTTATGTCCAAATAATGTAATGAATAAAACCTGATAAAAATGATGCATGTCAAATGCTTACCGAATTGTATTTAAAAAAAAGATGATGATCCAAGATGGATCATAAAGCCATGTTTTGATCATGAAGAAAAAAGGTTAAATTCATTGTCATATACGCTAATCTATACCCTAATCCTAAATTTTCCAAATTTTGTAAACCAATCATAATAATAGTCAAATCACCTAACGTTATAGTAACACTAATGATGCAAAATTTTTTACATGTTTGTTTCAATTTTTTTCTCATAGCAGTAAAGAAATATGATATTGAGACTCGTATTGAGATCTGTTATACAGTCACGTCAGAAAGTAATGCCCGATTTGAAAATGAAGACAAATACAAATATATTTGTATTTTTTCACCAGTATAAACATTAGTAAAAAAATTATATCTAGTTTGCTTCTCATACTACATCAAATTTGGCAGCCTTCCCAAAAACAGAACTATTTAAATTTTCATTTTTTCTTCAGTACAGCTTTAAGTTCGCCTACAGCTCTTGGGAAGAGGTCACACTTCTGGATAATATATTGGTTCATTTCTAATTGTTCTCTACTTTGTTTAAACCAAATTAATTTGTTGGCAAATCAGTAGTTACAATTTTATTTAATTTTAGCTGATTTTTGCTTAAAGATGAAATCTATAATTATTTTGCCACTTGTGATTATCTTGGCATCCAGTGATCCGAATTTGGCGAATAAGGGCTCATTGGATTCGTCTCGTCATGAAGAATTGAATGGTGATCGGCTCATATCTCTAGGATCGATATATGCCAAGATATACATTAAAATATATTTTAGACTTTTTGGCTATTATCTCGTGATATATCGATGTTATACATATGGGCTGGCCACCATTCGATCGTCTCGACGAGACTCAAAATCGGATCACTGAATAGTGAGCTATTTCCGATTTTATGAAATTCAGAGTTTCAAAAAATTTTCAGGTAAAGTATGTTTGGCTTGGCATCTATTGGACCTAAAGACATGATTCATCTAACATTGGACTCGTCTTGGTGAGGTGAATTCAATAAGCCTTAACTTGTCAAACTCTGATCACTGGATGCTGGGATAACCATAGTGGTAAATAATTATAACCTCCACCTGTAAGTAATTGGGTAACACTTTCCGACGTGACTGTACAATTTTTTATATCATGTTTTTTTAACACGTCAAAAAAACTGTTACTTTCTAAATGTCAAATTCTAATCAGCAAAGACCTTATGAAGAAGAAAATTACCCTATTTCACCTGAAATAATATACTATGGTGACCGAAAATTTGTTTTCAAGAAGGTATCTACCTACTGGCTGTGAATTATACTGAAGCGCCTAATTATTTTCCTATACCTGATAATTATACTATTAAAACTACCTGGGGTCGGGCTAATAACAGCTGTACTATTCAATGTTCTATTTATTATGTAGAAAAAAAACCTCATTACTTAATTTGTTTTGGAGATAATTTACAATATCAAGTTTTTCAGCTCAATCACCATTTGATGCTTCTGTTGAACTACACAAAGTAAGTTATTATATGTTTATTATTAGAAAAATTTAAAAAAATCATGAAAGAAGGTATTCTAATATATATATACTTTATTACCGGATAGGAGAACTGCTGTTTCTGGTGTTCATCTTTTTGGACTTCAATTAAAATGCATTAATAGAAATCACAAAGGTAGACCACGTGAATTGAAACTTCATAAAGAATCAAGCAAAACTACACAAATTAAACGTGCAAAAGGTCTTGCAAAAAAAGAACAGGTGCACTTTGAAAATACAATTAAAGATTTTTACAATCCCAAAGATCGTGTATTTTTAAAGGCTTTAGATTTTACTGTAGAAAATAAAGAATACCATGTAAAATTTGGTAATGAGAATTATGTTAAAAAAAAACAAAAATTGCAATCAATTGCATATGTACAAGACGTAATGAATATACCTCGTGATGCATATCATCATCTTGCAGCTGTAGAATCAATATTACTACAAGAATATGCTATTTCTCAAACCTGTCAAGAAATTAAATTCTACCATTGTGCAAGAAGGACCTTCAGAAAAACCTTATATAACTGATCCATTGATTATTGAACAAGTTATTAATGCAACTGGAAAAGATGCTTACCGAAGTGTTAAAAAAATTCTTGAATATATAATACCATCATATGTTGAAAAAGGAATATTAGATCCTGCAATACCAACTATTTATCTTCGAATATCTGGTGATGGGCAAAACGTAGGCAAAAGGTGAAGCATATGATGATTACCATAGCACTATTGGATGATTCAATAAACATTTGTAAGCCCAATTACCATTATACAACTATCTTATTTCCAGGAAGTGAAAATTATCCAACTCTAAAAGTTGCAGCAAATGCTCTTACTCAGGAATTGCAAGAACTGAGTAATGTAGGATAAAGTCCTTATTTTGGACCTAAAGACTCAGTCCTAAAACTGAGTCAGCAGATCTTTAAGTCCAATTTTTTGGACTAATAAGGAGTTAGTTTTAAATGAGTCCTAACCAATAAAAAGGGTTCTTACATTTGGTATATATATTACACAGTATTTAATTTTTGTTGTACAAACTTACACAATGAGTTTAGATGATGCATTCAATTTGTTGATTTGGAGAGTGATGACATTTTGGATAACATATTACATACTGAAGGAAGTTCTCAAAAAACTTCACCACTATGGAATTATGTAGATTGCAAAAGCCCAGCTTACCCAGGAATACCTGTATGCAAAAGGTGCAATTACTATTTTCTATTAAGTCAAGTAATACTACTATTGAACGGCATCTTTTAAATAAGCATAACATAATAATTCCAAAGGTCAGAAAGCAAACAACATTAAATTTCAAATGTACAGACCCTTGGCCTGCAAAAGAAAAATTTGAGCGAGATAAAGCAGTTGTTATTTGGATTAGGCTGGATCAAATTGATAATCTGTTTAACATTATCACAAGATTTAAAAACCGGGAGGCTTAACATCACGTGATTTATTGAAATTGCCATTAGTGCCGCTGGTGTTTATTTATTTATTTCTTACAAATTAAAAAACTCTTTCCCGAATACATTTTTTACGAAAATTTCTGCGTAATAATTTTTTTTTAAAAAATAATCCCCTTTATTAAATTTTATTACATAAATATAAAAATGTCTATGGATAAGAGCCTGTCTCTTATACACATCTAGATGTGTATAAGAGACAGGGATAATATATTGGTTCATTTCTAATTGTTCTCTACTTTGTTTAAACCAAATTAATTTGTTGGCAAATCAGTAGTTACAATTTTATTTAATTTTAGCTGATTTTTGCTTAAAGATGAAATCTATAATTATTTTGCCACTTGTGATTATCTTGGCATCCAGTGATCCGAATTTGGCGAATAAGGGCTCATTGGATTCGTCTCGTCATGAAGAATTGAATGGTGATCGGCTCATATCTCTAGGATCGATATATGCCAAGATATACATTAAAATATATTTTAGACTTTTTGGCTATTATCTCGTGATATATCGATGTTATACATATGGGCTGGCCACCATTCGATCGTCTCGACGAGACTCAAAATCGGATCACTGAATAGTGAGCTATTTCCGATTTTATGAAATTCAGAGTTTCAAAAAATTTTCAGGTAAAGTATGTTTGGCTTGGCATCTATTGGACCTAAAGACATGATTCATCTAACATTGGACTCGTCTTGGTGAGGTGAATTCAATAAGCCTTAACTTGTCAAACTCTGATCACTGGATGCTGGGATAACCATAGTGGTAAATAATTATAACCTCCACCTGTAAGTAATTGGGTAACACTTTCCGACGTGACTGTACAATTTTTTATATCATGTTTTTTTAACACGTCAAAAAAACTGTTACTTTCTAAATGTCAAATTCTAATCAGCAAAGACCTTATGAAGAAGAAAATTACCCTATTTCACCTGAAATAATATACTATGGTGACCGAAAATTTGTTTTCAAGAAGGTATCTACCTACTGGCTGTGAATTATACTGAAGCGCCTAATTATTTTCCTATACCTGATAATTATACTATTAAAACTACCTGGGGTCGGGCTAATAACAGCTGTACTATTCAATGTTCTATTTATTATGTAGAAAAAAAA